GGCCTTGACCTTTGACACTTTCATCTCAATTCAACTGGGGTCATTTTTTCGTCATATACTCGTAAAATGTTTAAATGAATCTGGAAACCTTTTTATACTATGTATGAATTTCTGACCTTGACATGTTAACCTCCAAAAGAGGGATACATATTAAAATTGACAATATAAATAGTAAAAGGGAAATTTATGTCTTGAAAATGTAGGGATAAACACATTCTTTCAAAAAATATTTTTTTGCATCAAAATTCTTTTGATAATTGGAAAGTATTTTAAGGAGGTTGGATCCTGCCATCAAAAGTAATGAGAATTTTTTATCAAGTATATTTTTAGAATTTATACACATAGCTTTATTAAAAATCAAAACAAAAAATGGGGGTCAATGCGCTTCTTTTGGCGCTACAGAGCATTTAGTTTGACCTTTTTGCACTGTAAATACGTCTTACACATAAATCAATTTTTAAAGTTTTTCCTTCAATATTTTTTGTTCAAATAAATTATGGTGAACAAACACAGTCTTATTTCATCTTAAATAGACACATTAAAATTTGTAACAACGAAGAAATTTTTGAATTACTCCGCATGTTCAATTATTTGACCTTTTTGCACTCAAACATTTTCATTTTTCTGGTATTAAAATTTAACAAGCAAAAAAAATCATTTGAAAGTAATGACATTTTACTGAATTAAAGAAGAATGATTAAAAGTATCGTATATATTCAGAAAAGAAAATTAAAAGTGGGGGTCTGTGATGTTAATTTTTAGATATTACTAAAATAGTGCTAATTTTAAGCTTAAATTAGGGCTATTTTTTTCTTCATTTCCACAATATATTTGCTATATTTATCAAATATGATGATAGAATTCATGACAGTTTTTTAAATAGATAATTTAGGACCAGTATAAAACAGTTCACTGCACAAAAGAACTATGTGTGCAGACTACATGTAAAAATAGGAATCCAAACTTAACATACTTTTAATTCTTCGAAAGAGAAAAAATGATCATTTTCTTCTAAAAAACCTTCCGCCACAAAATATAGTTCCTCACTTAATGCCTTTGGTATGGAATTTAATCATGGAGTTTTAACTGAATATAGTTAAATTGGCATTGTAGAATCCAAATTTATTGTAAGAATTAAAACATTATGCAGAATTTTTGAAATATAGGTTAAGATAAGAATCTGCTCAAAAGCTCAGGAGCGAACCTCGTTAACATTAAACGCAAACACTTAACTTTCAATCGCAAAATATACCCTCAACCTAAATTCATCGTTTTCTTGCTATATTTGCCTCAACAATTTTTAAAAAGTCATAACCTATTTCAAAAGCTCAAAGAGAATTAAACTTATCATACGAAACACCTTTTATGTAGTTTTTGAATTTGTGACCTTGACCTTTGGTTTTTACCTAAAATTCACAAGGGGTCTTTTTAAGTTATAAGAAGTTATGATGTGAAATGTCAAGGAATAAGGAGTCATGCAGCATTTTCAATGCACACATTTATTTTTATGGCACATGTATCCGTAACAATTAAAAGTTAATGTATAAAACAACAACAAACTCAAACAAGTTTACAGCCCGTGAATTAACAAACGAAATAAGGGGGAAGCCACCATACTGTCTCCATTAATATATGTCACGTACTACTCATAAAACAGAAGTCCTGTACTACACAGCCAATACAAGGCCGCGCCGTGTGCTCTGTAGGTAATGAAGATACGGGGCACCACCTCTCATCCGACGCCGAAGTCCGGCTAATAATCCCCAAGAGGTGGCACTGGATTTCCTCTGGCGGGGAACATACGGCTCCTCATAAGGCAAGCTGCTGTGTAAATGTTGAGCATAAAGAAACATGGTAGAAGCCAGTATTAGGGTATCATATTCACTTTTTCGATCCCACATGCGGTTGAAGCCTCTGTCGAGTTGATCCGCCAAAGAAGTTTGTGAAAGGATCCGTTCCCAGTTCGTCTCGGCACTTTTCCTGGCGTATTCCCAAACTTTCGGGGTCGGTAATTTTTGGCCACATTTGTTTAAAGTTGAGACTAACTTTCCTGCGTGAATGTTTTCCTTGCGGGATACGTAGGAACAAACAAATCGTAAAAATTGGGAGGGAGGTTCCTCGCCGCCACAGGCCTCACACCTATCCTCAGGGGTATCTTCCCGACCCTCCTCACCGGGACATTCCCAGGTCATGTCATGCTCGGTTTCCATGATTAATTTCTGTCTGATAATGAGTATATTTACTTTTCACTGTGTAGTCAGTGAAAAATGATGAAATATTTATCGTAAAATCCAACGGCTATAAATAACAATGATCAAATGTTTTAAAGTTCCCTAGTTACTTGTAAAGTAGGTCAATAGAGTTATCTCGCTTCAAATGAATACCTAAAAGTATTTCTCAATACATATTTGTGCTGATGGTTGACCGACTTAAAGGATTTCCCATATCGCAGTCATGAGTTAGTTTGTATTCCATCAATAGACTTCGTAAGGGAAGAAGAACGTTTCATCATTAACCGGATGGACACGTCTGTTTCGAATTTTTTAAATATCTATATAAATGCATTTTGGTCCCATTTCTGCACGGATACTGATTTCAGTATATTAAACAACCTTTAAAGTTCTAAGCATTCAAGACTGATAAATTTAACATGTGGAGATTTTCTGCATTCTGTAATGACAAGAAGAGCAAATCCTTGGCTGAGAGTAAATCCTGTTGTGGTGGAAAGAAAGGACTCTATTTTACCAACGAATGGGACAAACTGATCCAGCAGGGAATCTCTCCGAGGGAGGTATGGGAAACTCGTTATGAGGTAGTCAACAGAATTAACTCGGACTTTCTTCAGAAGTTTGAGTGGAAGTGTGAGGGTGGATCTAAAGATTCAATGTCAGCCAGCTTAGCAACAGCCATTGAGCAGTTGCTGCTGATTTTTGGAAAAAGTTATGTTCAAGAGATGCAGGGTAGGTGGGAGAAATCACAGGAAGTGGGACGCAGTCCCACGGACTTCTGGGAGGAGGAGAGGTCAAAGTTCGAGAGAAAACACTGGTTCTGGCGCTGGGGAAAGAAATCCTCAAAAACCGAGGGACATAAAAAAGAGAAAGACGGAATCTCAAAATCTAGCGAGTTCGACGAGGAAATACTCAAAGATTAGTTCTAATGTAGGCATCATTTAGTGAATGTACAGCTATGTTAGAACTTGATAATGTGCATACGCAATATTATTCAGTTTTAAGTGATATTTTATAATTATATTTGATCAGTCTATTTACTTAATGATCATGAACATATCTGATCTTGCATTCTGTGGTCTTTTCTTTCTTCTTTATCAATACACTGTATTTAACTGATAAGAAATATTTAAAAATGGAGTTTTGGTTTTGTGTTAATCATGGATATCCTTCCTATATTGATGTAAATTGATTTCTTTCTTGTTTTTCTGTTAATAAAGTGATTTTTTTTTCCTTCTTTTTAATAAAATGGAATTAACTTTTGGAATGAAACAATTCTGTTTTCTCATTTTTATTAGACAACTTGTTGACTACCATTTTACAAAATTTAAAACAAGAATTGATATTGTGAAAATATTTTATGCATGTTATATCTGATGTATAACTTTTTTTTTATCTTTTCATTATATGATTTTACATATATTTGATGTTATGCAATGTTTTTACACATACTTATGTACTCAGGAAAAATGGAGCGGTACATGTCATCATTTTTATTTTTATTTTAATTAATATACATTATTATAAATATTAAAAATACCGTCAAATTTCTCTACACATTTCCATTTCGTCATTGTAAGTTCTACTCAAATAAACTAGACTAGTATTATGTCACATGTAGTAATATTATGTTTATATGTGTATACTGTTTATATTTTATTTCAATTTTAAAAGGTAAAAAAAAAAAATAAGTAAGCTACGAAACATGCCTGAAATATCAATCAGTTGTCACGCAAGTCCATTCTGCATTGTAAACCATAATCAAAACTAAGTCTGAAGTATCGCTTAATTTACAACAGGCCCGTATGAAGCAATTTCAGTTTGGGGGGGGGGGGGGCACAGCTATACATTTTCAGTTGAGGGGGCACTATCAAACTACCAAAAATTCATTGACAAGCAAAAAAAAAAAAGGTCATCAGACGTTTTTATTGAGGGAGGCACAAGCATATAATAGCTATGTTTTTTATAGTAAACTATATATCTGCAAAATTATTGCCCCCCCCGTGCCCCCCCCCCCCCCCCGCTCTTACGGCCATGTACAATGTTTGTTGAGTAATATAATTAGAAAGGTAACTGCAAGGGATAGAAGGTACACATACTAATCAGTTCACAATACTCAACGATTATATATATATATATATATATATATATATATATATATATATATATATATATATATATATATATACATACATACATACATATCACGCCTATAACTGGATACACATGGTTGAAGGGAGATTTGACCAATTAAATTCCCCACGATACAACAATGTTTTCCATTCATAAATAAAACTTTAAGAATTCCTTGGCCCAAAACACTTGCTGACCGATGTATGGCTTTTCAGGATGGAAAATGTTTATTAATTTATTATTATTATTTATTATTTTTAATTTCAAAGTATATCAAATTATTTTGATCTTAGGGAAAATAAGAGTTAACTCGCTTTATTCGTGATTGTGCTTATCTCTAAGTAGGTTATTATGATTCGATTAATTCCTGTTTTCATTCGGGACGTGTTAGATTGAGAATCTGAAGAGTTTTGTCTGAATTTGCAAACATTTGCTCTTTATAATCCTGCAAAACGAGATAATACACAATGTAAACATTGATAAAATACTAGGCAATCTTACATCAGAAAGCTGACGCAATAACGGACAGATATGTTCGTATATATCGGCCTTTATAAAAAGGAATCGATAGTCTCTCTAGACCAGATTAGCTAAAAGCTGTAACAAGAAAAGCATTCAGTTAAGTTTATCATAGTGAGTGAAGAAAGCCATTTTGTACTTTTTATATTTTCAACTGTGTTCCAGTGCAGATAATAAACCATGTGGGGATTTTCTTCATTTGGTTCTCAAACAACAAACAATTCCTTGTTCGGACACAGGAAAAATTGGAAAAATAAAACAGTGTTCACGGATGAATGGGAAAAAATGATCGAAAAGGGTTCCTCTCCGAAAGAAATCTGGGAGTCTCGATATGAGGAAGTGAACAAAATAAACCAAGACTTTACTAGGAAGTTTGACGTTAAAACCGAGCGCGGGAAGGAGTCCTTTTCTCCCGACATGAACGCCGCAGTGGAGCAGACGACACTGATTTTCGGTAAAGGGTACGTGCAAGAAATGCAGAACCGCTGGGAAAAATTCCAGGAAATGGGTAAACCCGCCACAGAGTTCTGGTCAGACGAGAAGGCATCTTTTGAGAGGAACCGCCGATTTTGGCGCTGGGGTCATCACACCCATCACAAAGACAGGTGCTGCTGGAAAAAGAAAGAGAAGGAGGAGTCGGCCATGTTTAAAGAGTTTGACTTCTAGAGACGGTGGTGAGAGATTTTCAGTATAAACCTGATTCAAGGAGGGCTTAAAAATCTAAGTCAGGTGCTAACTTATTAAGATTATAAATATATACAATATTTATTTTTTCACAAATCAAGATATATTTGCTATTGTGTGTGTGTGTAAAAGTATGTATGACAAAACATTTTATATACAGATCATGATTTTTTATTTGTACATTTCGTATATGAATACATGTGTATATAACTTTGTAAAATGCTTTTATATAGATAAAATTGATGCCAAAGGACTAATTTTGTTCTATATTTTAAAATCATTTGCAACACTCATAAATAATGACGAAAACGCCCAATAGCCTCAACACTGCTTACTGAAGATACCAATTCCATGGCAATTTTATGAAAGTTAGTGACCTTCCGTTTGATATAAAATGGAATAACGATAATCTAAAGTAAATGACAAATTTTGAAATAGATCGAAGCGTTCTTAACAATATATCAGCCCAAGTGGAAATAAAATCATTATTTGCATGTATTTTCTCAAATGTAAGAATTCAACAGCGATGTCTGTTCACTAATACTTCGACTTTGTATTTCCTGCAGAAATATGGCAGGTACCATATGTTGAAACGAACTGGAAAAACTGAATTCCTTCACCTATTCTGAAACTACATGTAATTTTTCAAAATTAGTCTTTAAAGCTTCCCAAACGAACAAGTGGCAAGTAAATTTCACTCAGTGGTCATTTTAGATGAATGTTAAATAAGATTTCAAAATGATTTTGCTTTTATAAATTACTGCTTAATCAAACCATAAATACGTAAATCGACACCCTCCAAACATTTTCATAAATATGGGACACGGCCTAGATATGGTAAATTCCTAGTAAAGTACTGGATCCGTTTTAAAATATCTATTCTTAGAAAAGTTTTATTTGAACTTGTCGAAGTGGATCCTGAATACTTTACATTTTTAATTAATTATTTTAAATTGATAATTAATGAATTAAGTTAGTTAAGACATAAGGTATCATTATAAAACATTTATCGGGATGTGATCAAATCCCAAGATCTTATGGTAGATTTGATCACGTACCAAATTATATAAACAGAACAGTGTTTAAATGTAAAAATAAATATCTAATATTATAAAAAGAAATTTATATCTTGAATTTCAAAAGACAGTGCAATTATCAGTGAAAAGTACACGATGTCCTAAAATGTATGTATGCAAAATTTTTTACTCTGGTCACTATTAATATTCTGATTGAGAAAATGTGGAGTAACGCAACAAGTAAACGTCTTTCCATTATCTATTTTGTCATAATATGACTATATAGTTTTCAAAAAATTCATAGAAATAAAAATGGGCCATATACGGTTTAATAAATTTTTATTATACCGTACATGTAATTTTTAAACCTCAACAAAAGTACAATCCAATTGCACAGAATGACATACAAATAGAAATCACATATTTCCGAGAAAATAAAGACTCCTTATATTTTATTAGTTAGTTTGGGGGGGGGGGGATCCACGCTTCAGGTGCCTGTGGTTTTGCTACGGGAAACCCTAAACATCTCTCCGATCGAAACGTAAAATAAGAGGTGCACAATGGTAGTATGTAATAAAGATCTGGATGAAAGTATCATTATATTTCATTTCAGTGGAGTAGGAGGAATTGCAGATATGGGATGGTTACCCCTAAGTGTTAAGGACAGAAGGTCATCTCCATCACTCAATAACCCACCCACCCCCTTCCACACACACACACACACCCTCACACACACACACACACACACTATTCAAGCGGGGTCGCAATAATGGCCTAACAATTTGTATGAAAAACGTCAGTCAACATACGACCTAACGACAGAATGTTTTTACAAACGAGGCCATTGTATCGACAATAGATTTTGCAAAATTTTGACTTTAAACGAGATTGTAGACACCCTTGAATCATCAACTTATTTGTCAGTCGTCTTCCTCGATTTAGAAATTGTTCGTACGAAGAACGTACCCTTGCGTATCGAATCAGCTGGGACATCAACCCCATATGCAGGTGATAATGATATAAGGGAAGTTGACGATAGAAAAGTGAAATCATCACGTTTATCATAAAGTTAGTTGTTAGTTGGCCATCAATGTCTTTCTGTAGTAATATATCCAAATATGAAACAGATGTGTCAGACTCTGTGGTGTCTTTTATTTCGAGCTTAAAGGGAGAAGGAATGAAAATATTGTTGATTGATAAAACGTTATCGATATATCTAAATGTCGAATTGAAGGCCATGGCAATTAAGAATTTCTTTTTTACTTAGAAGTTTTTGAACAAATTCTACTTCATAAGAACACAAAAACGGGTCTGCTAATAATAGGCACAATAGGAATTTCAATAAGTAAGTTAATGACCTAGCATTATAACTTCTGGAGTTTGCGTTTAAAAAGCAGAAAGTAGTACCAGTCCCTATGTAAATCTTCAAAATCTGTAAATTAAAATCCGAAGTATAATACGTGTAATTTTTTTATTCATAGGTGAAAATATAACAAAAGTCCACTGTGCAATGAACTTATCAACAGTGTAAAGTGTTCTTAATCAATAATGCATAAAATATATATTTATATCAAACAAAATTCATTAAGTTAAAATTTGCCATTTTTCGATGTCAATGGTAAGTTTGCTCTATGTTCATATGAGCAAAACAAAAGTCACTGTCACGTGATATCTTGTTCTTTTGACGTCACTTTTTCTTCACTTTCATTGACTTCCATCCACACGACACATTTGTCTATGGAGTTCAGCTTCGCCATTTCTTCTATTGCGATCTCATCCGTATCATCCTCTTTGGGCGGAGCATGCGAATCCACGATTTCTACCGTCTCCATGGTGACCTCAATGTGGTCCCCGGTGAGGGATCTCTTTAAGAGGTCCTCTTCAGATCTAGAAGGCCCGGTGATATCACCGTCAAGGCGGAAGGACAAATTTCTGGTGAAGGTTTCGGCAAACTTTTTCGTTTTCCCGCTCTTGGTAGTTTTTCGACTTGATTTTCGATGCTTTGACTTTTGTTGTTTTGTATCCTCCACCCCTTCCCCCACTGGTCGTTCTTCCTCCGTGTGGTATCTGCTTTCTTCCTTGAGCTGGTTGATAACTAACTTGGCTTCCGTTGACATGGCAGTTGATATATCATTAAGCTGTCGTTTCTCCAGTTGAACTTTCAGTTCGTACAGAGAATCGTGTGAGAGGTTGAATCCCTCTAGCCATCCTGTTACCAACTCGCACGGTTCCCCAGATTCCTCACCAAGCATGGCAAGCGTCACTAATTAACTAGTACAAAGTAAAAGTCCACTGTTAGTGATTGGCACTGACATTAGCGTCTCTCTTCAGACGATCATCAGTGTTGAATTCTTATCGGAAGAGATCTGTAAGGAGATGATACATCGTAATAACATTGTTCATACTGAATTATAAATGGGGACTTGTCAGCAGTAATAAATTCCTTTTTTCATTTCAAATCCAATCAATTTAAAAGATTTATAGCCTTTAAACCCCGTTAACAGGATAGTACCCTTTGGGTTTTCTTGACAACCCGTGCATCGGATGCTAGCTACAATTCTGAATGTATAAACACGTGTAAACAAAACCTCTACATATGTCTTTTGTCTTCTAGTTTATTTCACACCTTTATTTATCATGGTTTTCACATTCTATGATAGTCACGAGACACGGAAGCTATAGAAGCCTTTAATCCCCCCTAATGGGGGCTCATAAAAATTCTGATGATTGAACCGAATGCAAACAAATTCAATGGGTTCTTTGTCATTTGTACTGTTTACAAATTGATCGAACTGCTCTCAATTGTTGAAATTTTTAAATATAATCCGCCTCTTTTGTGTCGCTGCATCGTTAAGAGTGCGCCGACTTTCACTGGTAGGAATATTTCTTCAGCTGCCAGCTAAACTTTTACAGACCACAAGAATTACGTACATATCTTATTTGTTTTAGGAACTCAAAAAGGCGACAAGGAGAATTGAATGGGAATTGGTAAAGAATGGGAAAAAACTTAATATGTTCTCACACATACCTACATTATTCAATGAAGGCCTTATATTTACATCAGATAAACCTGTTGATTAAAAAACTGCAATTTCAAAATAAAGGTCAAAAGGAGGCCCCATTTTTACCATAATTATTGAAGAAAAACACTCCTTGGATGTGACTATTTATACTGCACATCAGCGGTATGTTTAACAGGGAGTGAAAAAGTAAGAATGTTGTAAGAGTGAGTGACACTCATCATACAGTACATGTATTTCATCAATGCAAAGTCCTGTAATATTTACTACTGTTAAGGCAGTGATAAACCCTTTTAGATCTTAAAGTATGTACATTCTCCAGTTCCTAGCGTTGTATGAGACCTATTCCGTGTATTATGATGGTACATTAACGTTCTCTTTCACTGCTCTATTATGTCATAGCGTACAACATAGTGTTTATGTAAAACTCATGAAATAACGAAATTGGTGTTTCATAGACAATGCAAAGAATTTTTGATTTTTTGAAAATAGTTTACTGCTTGTATGAATTTCTCTTTCTAAGATTTTGTCTTTCAAACTTTACACATAAAGTAAATAATAACAAATTCTTTCCGATTCTAGATTCAGGTTTGATGTAAAGTGTATAATGTGATGACCGATGGTATATTATGTCATTGGTGACGATTACTTTCAGTGATGATCTCTACAGTGACGGGTACAATGACTGCTGGTGATATTTCACCACTAGGGATAATTGTTTTTTGTGATGAACTCTACAGTCGCGGGTACAATGACTGCCATTAGGGATAATTGTTCTTTGTGATGATCTCTACAGTGACGGATACAATGACTGCTGGTGATATATCACCATTAGGGATAATTGTTCTTTGTGATGAACTCTACAGTGGCGGGTACAATGACTGCCATTAGGGATAATTGTTCTTTGTGATGATCTCTACAGTGACGGGTACAATGACTGCTGGTGATATATCACCATTAGGGATAATTGTTCTTTGTGATGAACTCTACAGTGGCGGGTACAATGACTACTGGTGATATATCACCATTAGGGATAATTGTTCTTTGTGATGATCTCTACAGTGACGGATACAATGACTACTGGTGATATATCACCATTAGGGATAATTGTTCTTTGTGATGATCTCTACAGTGACGGGTACAAAGACTGCTATTGATATATCACCACTTGGAATAATTGTTCTTTGTGATGATCTGTACAGTGCATGGCGGCTACCAAAAGAACCGATGATATATCAGCATTAGGGACAACTGTTTTTTGTGATTACATGTATCTCAGCAGTGGCGGGTACATTAATAACGATGATATATCTTCATTAGGGACGCTTTATTTCTACTAGGGATGGGTATCGGCAAAAATTTTGTATCGTGATATATCACGATTTTCCCCCAAAAATATCACGATAAATCGTGATATTTTTACACGCAATATACACTACAAATTTATATGAATTTCCGTAACATTTCTTAAAAATATGCTATAAAAACATAACTTTACTTTTTAAATTTTCATTTATTTAATATAAAGCATGTTTTGATGCCATTGTTTAATTGTTTTCAACATTTTTTACACTTCCTGTAATTGCCATTCAATAGTTTGAACAAATAAATGAATAATTTCCGGAATCTATAGTTATGTACCAAATACCGGTATTTTAGTCTCCGTATCACGATACGTATCACGCAATAAAAAATCGCGATATACCGGTATACCGATAAAATCGCGCATCCCTAATTTCTACAGTGGTAGTTATGATGTTTTATGATTTTTTTTTTTCCATTATTGTCGACCATCTTTAGTTATGATTTTGTAGAGTGAAGGGTACAATGATAATTGATGATATATTATGATATATCAATATCGTATATGGTGATGTCTTAAACGATGATTTTTACGGTAGTAGGTACAAATATAGTCGATGATATATCATGGTAAATCATCTTTAGTGACACATGTTTTTAGCAATGATTTCTACGCTTGTAGTTACGATGATAATCGATGATATATCATCACTTAACGATTGCTTTTAGTAATGACTTCTACAGTAGTGAGTTGAACGATGACTGATGATATATTATCATTAATAAGTGATGATTTGTACAATGATGAGTACAATGATTACCGATAATTGATATGCTACTATTAAGCATATGCTATCCCCCACTAAGCTTAGCATTGTTATTAACTTGTTAATGTTTACAGAAATCTGGCGTGCAAAAAATACTTCTCTCTTATTGTGATAACAATTTATTTTCATTAGCTAAAAATAATTTCATTTTATGAATTTGGTTACTTTTATTTAGAAATGAAATCATTAAATGGTTTGTACATTCATTTATGATGCCAAAAATAATGAGTATTAATTAGCAACGGCCAAGTGATCATTCTTGAATAAAGTGTACAGTATTTTTCCATGGTTTCTTTTTTCATATATATATATATAGAGAGAGAGAGAGAGAGAGAGAGAGAGAGAGAGCTTGCCCAGACCTAAAATAAAGCATCTTATTAAAATCCCTTATAATAAAATCATATGTTCTCTTAAATAGAACTTTAAGTGCCGCAGCCTTTCTGCATCTGTACTTTTTATAATTATCAATTATGTAAACAATTTTACATTAAGTATTTGAATCACATATAAAAGTGCACCTACCTGAGGGACTAGCTATCCTTCTGACTGAAGTATTCCACTTTTTCCAGTAAACTTTATAATTTATAATTTAACGTTTAAAGCCTTGGTTGTTTAGAATTACTTTTCAGTACACAAAACGATTTTTTAAAATAAAAAACCAACATGATTAATACGACAGTCTTTAGATTTTGAGCCCCCCTCCATTATAGTGTTTCCATTATATCAACCTTATGAGGAGGTACATTTAACTGACAGCTTTTATCCGGCTGATTTTAGCTTATATCAACATTGATTAACCTCCCGTTATTAATGATCCCTGGCTATTTTTCTAAGTGTACTTACATCTGTTACGTAATCCAACAATTTCAAGGATCCCTTTTAAAATCTAAAAGTTGTATCGCAAATATTGTTGCTTTCAGTATAATGTAGCTGATATTTGCTTTAAATCGTATTTTTTGAAATTCTATGCCATGACAGTTAATTAACAATGGTTTTAACAATATAGTTAAATTTCACTAGGTGTCGATTTTCACCGTGTATATTGTTCTGTGAGGTTAACATTTAATGGTTTATCATTCGTAACAAGTACAGGCCTTTAAAAGCGTAGTTAGTGAACCATTTATTACCACGGGGAACAACTGTTAAACTACTCATAATTTTATACAGCACATCGATTATCTTTCATTTATACTGGCAGTCTGGCACTCATTATTTCCAGATAATGGTTTGAATTTTACAATTTACATAAATTGTTTCAAGATCAATTACGTAAAATTTATAAATTCTAAATAAAGGATACTTCGTTAAGATTCCTTTTTTATTATCAGACCTATTTTTGCATTCATATGAAGCAGAATTTATTTTTTTAAAATTCTACATGAAAAGAAGAAGTCTAAATTTCCAATCAATTTTGTTGTATGAACCTGTAACTATATGATGTATTATTATGTATAATTTAAATGAACCTTGTACCTGTGGAGAGGGTTTATATAGGATATGCCTGCTGCCCAGTCCATTTATGTTTCAGTACATAATAAAATATGCTCAAATCAATCAAGAAGTTTCTTGTTGTGGCCTTTCAATTCAACATTTACATACATCGACGACGTTTTATCAATTAACAATATTCATTTTCATTCCTACTTTGATTTGTACGGAAGCCGGTTGGTGCCAGGTAGAAAAGTATTTTATCTGGCGGCCGCCAGATAAAATATTTTTTCTACCTGGCACCAACCGGCTTCCGTAGATTTGATATATCCCTTTGAACTCGAAATAAAAGGCACCACAGAGTCTAGCACATATGTTTCATATTTGGATATTTTACTAGAAAAATGGTAACTTTATAAAACTTTATGATAAACATGATGACTTCAACTTTTCTATCGCCAACTTTCCTTATTTAAGTAGCAGTATACCATTATCACCTGCATGTGGGGTTTATGTCTACCAGTTGAGTTGATGAGCAAGAGCATGGTCTACCTACGAACATTTTCTAAAACGAGGCAAGCCATTGACAAATAAGTTGATGAAACAAGAATATCAACAGTATCGTATGGAGTCAACATTTTGCAAATTTTATGTTCGATTCAATGAACTTGTAAGCAAATTTAATCTATCATTAAGTTGAATG